ACGTCCGCTGTTTGGACTTGCAGACTTCAAACATGACTGGGGGATTCCTGGAAGACAAAAGAACTCAGGGCCCGGGCTTGGATCTCAGTCAAAAATAACTTAACGTCTTCATCTCAGGCAGGCGAGCGGCGGCGGCCCAGGGCTGGTGTGCCGGAGCCTCAGAAGAGAGGAGCTACAGGTGGGGACGAGGGCACCGCAGGGGTCAGCCTGGGTTCAGTTTGGCTTTAGAGAGAGAGACTGGGCACGGAGGGGGTGCGCCTGGCTGGGGCCATGTCAGGATGGGAGACAGTTGTTGAAGAAGAGGCCCGGGCGGAAGAGGAGAAAAGTCACCCCCTGCCCCCCCCAACTTCTGGGCACTGCCATTTGCTTGGAGCAGTAATTACAGCCCTTAATGTTCCTTCCCTGGCTTCTCATTAGCTCAAGGTATCCACAAATAAAGTGCTCAGCTCCCCGTCACCCCCTAACCTCTCCCAGCAGCTGCTCCTGGCTTTTCAGGGGGCAGCCCATTGTCCCCGCTGCCAGGGCCAGAACATCGGGTCCTTAAAAAAAAACCCTCCGTCTCTTCAAGGGTACATTCATTGGAGAGACTCAGCCCCCAAAAGGCTCTTCCCCCTCTCCTCCCGCTTATCCCCCTGGCTGTAATTAGAGGATTGTCTAATTCTCTCCCAGGAGGCCGGAGCCTGGTCTCATCCCCTTTGTGTTCTCAGTGCCTCGGCCAGGGTCCGGCCAATAACGGGCACTCATGACCTGTCAGTGGAATGGCGCTATTGAGCTGCCGACAGCTCCATCTTCCTAAAATGCTTCTCCACTGCCTGCTGGGCGACGTCCAACCTCCTCAAACTGGCACGCAGGGACTTTTGCGACCTGGTCCTCTTCACCTGCCGTCCTTACTTTCTGCTCAACCACCGAGAGGTTCTCAATATGGTCAACGGCTTTGCTACCTCTGTGCCCCAGCCACAGCCACCTGCGCCACCTAGAAACCCTGCGACACTCTCTACCTGAAAGCTGCCCCACCTTTCGTTCAAGGCTTATCTGAATAGCATGCTCCTGCCCGCTGAACTGAGTTTGACCCCTTGGGGTTTGAGCTGTTCTTCCCCAGGCTTTCGTCCTGTTCTGTATTGACTCAGAGTGTCTTTGGGGGAACTTTAAAGGAGGTCACAGGTGTGAGGCACTTACAAAATGAAGAGCAGGCCAGGCGCGGTGGCTCACGCCTGTAATCCTAGCACTCTGGGAGGCCGAGGCAGGCGGATTGCTCGAGGTCAGGAGTTCGAAACCAGCCTGAGCACGAGCGAGACCCCGTCTCTACTATAAAATAGAAAGAAATTAATTGGCCAACTAATATATATATATATAAATTAGCCGGGCATGGTGGCACATGCCTGTAGTCCCAGCTACTCGGGAGGCTGAGGCAGGATTACTTGAGCCCAGGAGTCTGAGGTTGCTGTGAGCTAGGCTGACGCCACGGCAGTCACTCTAGCCTGGGCAACAAGCGAGACTCTGTCTCAAAAAAAAAAAAAAATGAAGAGCAGAGTATAAATGCCAATAAGTTTGCTGTCATCTCTCACTAGACCCCATGGCTTCTCCCGGGGCGGGGGCCCCTGTGCACAGCACACCCCCAGGCGTCTATGAGTGCCTGGCCCATGGCAGCTATTCAGTGAAAGTGAGTCGCTGTCATGCCCATTCCCTCCTGTGTCCCTAATATGGTGCAGAACGTGCCAGTCCGTGAGCTGTCTTAGGTTAGAGTGGATAGAGTGGAAGGAAAGCCATCTGGTAGCCCAGCCATTCCCACGCCTGGAGGTTTCCAGGCCATGGGCCCCCAGGCCTCACGTCCCACTGCCTGCTGGGGCGTGGGTGGTACCTAGCTGCAGATTCCCCTGGGGGGTAAGGGTCAGAGTGAGCTGGCTAGCTAGGCTTAGGCAACACTGAGGACAACAAGTGAGAGGGTGGCCTCAGGTTCACAGAGGATGTTGACTGTCACAACTTGCCCTAATAGTGTCCAAGTCCAGATGGCCATTCTAGCAGGGGCTGGGGAGAGGGGAAGCCGTTTCCTAAAGGGAACATTTTGGTGAAAGTTTGGAAATTCTTTCTCAGGAGATTTTTGGGGACACTGTCTGCCAAGGCAGGGTAAACGGTGCCAGTGGCCAGCTGGGACAGGTGCCAGGAGTCAATGCAGAACAGGACCAGAGCCTGGGGAAGAACAGCGCAAACGCCAAGGGGTCAAACTCAGTTCAGAGGGGCAGGAGCTTGCTACTGAGCTAAGTCCTGAAAGATGGGGCAACTTCCGGGTAGAGACCATGGAAGAGTTTCTAGGTAGAGGGAACTGCCGTAGCAAAGGAAGAACAGCATCCCCTTCTGGACGCTTCTCAGATCCTCCTTCTCCCCTTTAGCTGCTGCTGCCCTCATGACCTCTTCCTTGGACAGCACCTCCCGTGTCCCTGTGCTCAGGCCAACTTCCCTCCTGTCTAGGCTCCACACTACAGCCAGAGGGATCTTTTAAAATAGTACTCTCCTGCTCACAATCCCTCAATGGCTCCCCGTTGCCCTTGGGCTAATGGTCCAAGTTCTTTTCTCATAAAATTCAGAGCCCTTCACAAACCTCCCCTCTAGGCTGGGCTCTTTATCTTGGGCACCTTGCTCTAGTTTCCAGCCATGCCGAATTGCTTGTAGCTTGCCTCCCGTGTAACGCTTCTTCCCATGTTGGGGCTGTCCCCTCTGCCTGGAATGAGGCGCCTCCCCTACACCTTTCCCACGGTGTCTGGTGCTGGGGGCATAGCTTTTGGGCCCACAGGGACCCCCTCCTTTGGACTTCTATACCCCATGAGCCTCCCTGGAATCCAGAAGTAATCCCTGTGTTGAACGTGGCTGTCACCCCCAATTATGGGTTTCTGGAGGGCAGGGGCTGGGTCCTACCTGCCTCCGTATTCCCAAAGCTCTGTCACTGGTACTTAGTAGAAGTTCCGTAAATGTTCAGGGACTGAACTGTCCCTTCCAGCTAAAGGGGCGGTGGAGTTGGCTATGTCGATAAGAGCTATCCCTGCGCTGGAGAAGAGGCAGGATCCAAGGGGCAGCTGGAGTCAGACCGAAGCCCAGAGCTGCTGGACATCCGGCAGAGTGGCCAGCCCTTCTCTGTGCCCTTCTCCTTCCAGTGTCCCAGGATCCAGGCTTCCTGGCCACTTCTGCAGCCCCAGAGATCTAAGTTTAACAGAGCCAGCACCCAGGCAGGTCGTGCACATGATTGCAGGGCTGGGGGAGGCAGGACCCCCCCCAGCATGGGCTAAGCCTTCTGGGCTTCATTCCACAAGGGAGTCGCCCTCTCTTCTGTCCCCTGAAGGCTGTTTTCAAAATCGCACCCCATGCAGACAGGTTTTATTTACAAGGAAATCTTGGCAGGATCTTGACTTGTTAGTAGAGTAGGGATGGGGAGGAGGATGGTGAGAAACAAAAATAGTTGAAATGATCACACTTTCTGAAACCGAGATGGAAATTGGTGTCTGTAGCAAACTCACCTAATTAGAATCGAGTTAATTTCCTTCTCTGTGTTTAAGGGAGCAGTCGTTGCTGAGTGAGATGGTCACAGGTCAGATCCTGGGGCTAGGGTGATGTGCTTGCTTTATTAAGATGCGAGCATTAATTGCAACTTTCACTAATGGAAAAGAGCCTCAGTTTCTGAGAGGAAGGGAGAGGGGCAAAGGCAAGTGACTGAGTGGGTGGTGGGAAGAGGAAGGGAAGGGGAGTGGAAGGACACAGCCTTGGTGTGGGCTAGGCTGGGGACTGACGGGGTTGGGGGTGGGGCTGGAGAGATTTCGCCAAGAATGAGCCTCCCTGGGAAGAGCTGGACACCTGTCCCAGCTGGCCACTGGCACTGTTGACAGGCAGAGCCTCTGCTGCGAGAGACAGTCCCTCCTGGGGGTTCTTTCCTGCAGGGAAAAGCATCAGTTTTGTTTTTTTTTTTCTTTCTTTAAAAGATCCCCTACTCCTTTTCATTAACTTCATTCCTAATTGCTTTAGTTTCTTTACCTGCCCTCTCCCAGGTGGGGCCCTTCCCTAGGCTCACCTTTGCCAATGTGGTCAAATGAAGTCCAGGCATGGTCACAACATGGCTCTGGGGGTAGGGACGGCAAGACTTAGGGTTTGGGACCCAGGACCCCCCATCTCCAAGAAGATCCGACTTCCCCATCCCTAGGCCTCCTGGGACCTCCCGGAATCTGAGACTGCAGTGAAGAGAGGAGAGGGTGGTTGGGGGGATCCCGTCCTCACAGCACCCCCCTCCCACCCCGCAAATCACTCCTAGTTAACCCTGACGTTGCCGACTTCGTGAAAACCTCGCTTCTGTCTCCTTCACACTCCTGCCGCCTCCGAGAGATCGTTAACCCGGTGGGGGAGATAAACTAGGGCCGGGAGTGGAGGCTGCCGGCGATGGGGCCAGGGACGGCGCAGTTCCCGCGCCCGCCCCGGGCAGCGCAGCCACTTCGCCGCCAACACGCCGCAGCCCTCCCTCCTCCCTGGGCCGCGCCGCTCTGACCGATTTGGCCCGGGTGGTGGCGCCCGGGGTGGCGGGCGGAGGACGGCGGTCCCCGCGAGCAGCCCCGCCCCCGCCCGCGCCCGCGCCCGCGCCCGCCCCCGAGCAGTCCGCGGGGAGGAGGAGACTCGGGCGCAGAGCGGGGGCCGCGGGAAGCGGGAAGGACGCGGGCACGGCGGGCCGGGCCGGCCAAGGGCGCTCGCCGCGCAGCCGGGCGCGGGGGCGGGCGGAGGCGAGGCGGCGGGGCGGCGAGCGCGGAGAAGTTTGGCGGCCGAAGGCCGGGGTCCCGGGCTCGCGAGGAGGCGCGGCGGCGGCGGCGGCGGGGGCCGGGCCATGGGGGCGGGAGCGGGCGCAGGCCGGCGCGGAGGCGGCGCGGCACGCAACCGACCCGAGCGGCGCGGCCGCCCAGGCGCAAAGTTAGCCCAGCGCCCCGGGACGAGCCCCGCAGCCGCCGGACCCCGCCTGGGCCCCTGGCCCCCGCCTCGGCCATGGGCGAGCACCCCAGCCCGGGCCCCGCGGTGGCCGCCTGCGCCGAGGCGGAGCGCATCGAGGAGCTGGAACCCGAGGCCGAGGAGCGGCTGCCCGAGGCGCCGGAGGACGTAAGTGCTCCCTCCCCAGCGCGGGCAAACTTTCTGGGGGGCTCCGGGGACAGAACTGCCCCTGTCTCGCCCCCCGGGGCAACTTGGAGGTTTCAAGGTGACGCGGGAGCGCCCCGGATTGGCCGGGTCCCCGCGGGAGGGAGGGAGGCGGAGGGGCCGGTCTCCCCGAAACGCACGCGCTCCACCCCCTCCCCGCTTGGGTTCCCGCGGCTTCCCTGCGGGACACGGCAGCCCCCGCTGCTGCGCCGGGGACCCGTCGGCCACCGAGCCCCCTCCCGCCGCTGGTGCAGTGCCCGGGACACGGCGTTTTCCCGCAGAGGCGGCGGCGTCACGGCAGCGACTCCGCTCCCCTCCCACTCGCAACCTGCGGGCTCTCCGAGCCCGGGAAGGAGCGGGCGCCGCAGAGTCCCCGTCCCTGGCAGCGCGTACCAGTCCGGCGACCCCCTTCTCCGCTCCCGGATTAGCTCCCGCCCGGCACCTGCTCTGTCGCGACACTGATTGAAATTCACGCCGGTCCTTGTCCCCGAACCCGGCCGGAGCAGGGAGGGGAGGAGAGCTGGGAGCGGTTTTGCTCCTAGCCGGGGCTCAGGAGTCCAAGACGGCGCTGGGGGCTGGGGACGGCCCCCTGCGCGAGGATGGGGTGGGGGGTCCCCAGAGCTTCCCCGCCGCCTGCTGCTCGGGTCTCCATCCCTCCGGCCCTGGGCGCCATCGGCGGGGCTGGCACCAGGAAGCCCTGGGAACTGGAGTTTCTTAAGCTTCTCCCTTCCGGGGTTAACCTACAAATCGAGGTGAAAACCTGGGCAGGCACCCTGCCTTGCCCCATCCCTCCCCCGAGGTGAAGACATGGAAGTGAAACCAGGCCCCCCAACCTACAAAACCAAAGCTGGGAAGTCTGAATGGGGCTGGGGGGAGTCTAAGATCTGGCTTCTGTGGTTAAACCTGTCACTTCCCTCTGGTCCTAAACCCCTTGTAGAATCTCATGGACTCACCACTTAGACTCAGCCTTGGAAGAGAAGGGGTACGTTTCAGCGCATTCGGGAGCCTCCCCCTAACCCCCCAAAAAACCCTGCAGGAAATGTTAGGGTTTATACTGGGGTTAGTTCTCCTGAATAGAGGCCAAGATCCGCTGCAGCAGGGTCTGCTGGAATGGCACCTGGGCATGCGTTCCGAGGCCCGGGGTAGCCATGGACACTTTAGGCAGCAGGAATTATTAGAGATGCTTGGACATAGTTGGACACATTTATTTGATTATTATTGAGAATCACCCGAGTTCTCATCATCCCTTGCCTGCCGGTCCCAGAACCAGGAACAGGCACCTTGCAGCCCCCAGGAGCACCCCGCCCCCACTCCCATCCCCTACTGTGAGTCTCCGCCCTTTGCTCAGTCATTTGGGGAGCTCTTCCCAGGTTTCCCCCCTGCGTGTCTTGTGGCCAGTCCCTGAGTCGGGTGGTGACTCCTGGGCAGCAGCTGGGAGGCTATGTCAGAAACATCAGGGGGCTACAGAGACTTTGGTAATAAGTGTGTCTTTCTTTTCTCCTCTTCCTCCTCTCCTGCATGGCCTCCCTCCCTACAGCACTGGAAAGTCCTGTTTGATCAGGTATGTGAGCAGTTAAATTCCCCCCTCCTTCCTTCCATTCTCCCTGAAATCAGTCTCAGTGCCTGCGTGGGCTTCCCTCGCTCTACACGGAGATGGTGACGTGGGCTGGGGGTGTGGCTTAGTGCATCCCTGGGGCTGAATGGCACTGCTCTCCAGGTATCAGGAGGAGGCGATGGGCTCCCCTGAGAGGATCCCTCCCTCCCCCCTCCTCCTAACTCCAGCAGAGCTGGGTTTATACCTTGTAGAAATCGGACAATATGCATTGAATGCCTGGGAAATTCTCTGCCAGCCAATCGCAGTAGGAGGGCTGGGGAGCAGGGGCAAGGGCTTGAGTTGACAATCCCTCTCTCTTTCTACCTCCTCCATGGCCACCATTGAAGTCAAATCTCTACCATCCTTGGTAGGGGGGCATGACTCACAATATGGGCTCTTGTGAAGTCTGATTTTGTTTCTTTAACTGTGAGGTACAGGTGGGAGAGTGCTGCTGGGAGGCCACAGAGGGGAAATGGCATGTGATTATTTGCAATGCCTGGAGCGCAGGTATAAGACATGGAGTCAGGAGTGCCAAGTGTTGGCTGTTGAATCTGGAGATGGACATTTGACCTTCGGCGAGGTTCCCTTCTTTGGTTGGTTCTCCTGTTGGGTGCTGTTGTGTATTTCCTTCTCCCTCTTCGTCCCACCGGAGGAGAGTGAGCGCTGCAGTCCTCGAGTGAGAATGGTTGTGCCATGAAGTCTGTGCCACTTTAAGAGCTTGGTCTGGTTGGGCCAGAGGGAATGTGTTGGGTTGGGGAAGGAGACAAAGCTGAAAAGGTAGCTTGACCCAGACCTTCGTTGCAGGCAGCGGAAGCCTGTGGAAGCTCTTTAGCAGGGGTGTTAGGAGATCCAAGCCGTGTTTCAGAAAGCTCCCATGTGCCAGTGGGAAGGGGCGAGCTGGATTGCAGGATGAGAGAAACTAGCCAGGAGCCTGCCGCAGTGAATGGGGACAGGGACCTTGACTTGGAAGGTGACAATGAGAATGGAAAGGTAGAGAAACATGGTGGTAGGAGAACTGGAAGATCTTGGTAGACCTAAATAGATGAGAAGAACTGCCTGTCTAGCTTTGAGATTCTGAACGTAGGAGGGAAAGGGAACATCAGGTGGTGAGGGTAGGGCTTGGCAAAAATGACAACTTCGGTTTCAGACAGGTTCCACTTGAGGAGTCAGCCAGATGCAGATGCCCGAGTGGGACTGAAGATGTGGAATAGCAGTGGGATGGGCCTGGGGCTGTCACCCACATTAACCACGAGGCCTGGCTGTGGTTTGAGGAACATCCACCAGCTCCTGCCCTGACAGGACAGAGCATCTCTCCCTGGGCTCCTGAGTGCCACCCACACCCCCTCCACTCCTGAGAGCACAGCAGCTGCTGGCCCGACGCCCCGAGGCAGGAGGGGACCCGCTGCTGCCACTGCTGCCACTACCACCATGCTGCCAGCCCTTCACACCTCCTGCCAGATTTAGAATGAAAACCCAGAACAAAGTGTATCATTCTTTTTTTCCCCTGTCTGTGTCTTTCTCATTTGATTTATTTCCTCTGCCAGTCCTTCTGGGTGTGTGTTTACATTTTGAAATAAGCCATTTGGGTGAATGGAGGTAAACTTTAGTAGAAAGAACTCGGAACTCGAGGGAGCAGAGAGGACGTGTTAGCACCTAATATTAGCCAGTGGCCTATGAAATCTAATTTTTCCAACTGGCAGGAAGTCCTGGATGTCACAAAGAGCATCCCCCTGCTTCTGGGAGGTCCAACAGACAAAAAATTAATTCTAGGAAAGAAACTACTGAAACTTACTCTGGGCAATTTTTTTTTTTTTTTTACAATAAGTTCTGCCTGATGCCTACTCCCCATCCCCAAGGCAGCATTAGAAGCCTCTTCCATCATCTTCCTTCCTTGGGTTCTTGGCGTTTGAGGAGAGCTGCTCCTGAGTGTGGGTTTGACGTCTGGCAGATGTCTCGTCCCTCTGCCTTCACGCCCCCTACTTTGTTGAGCCGTCCCTTGACTGTCCCCCCCGTAGGGCTGAAGGAAGAGTAGGTGTGAAGCCTCACAAATGGACACATGGCCTTGGAAGGATGCCAGGTTGTCCCGAAAGCTGAAGTGTTTTATCCATTTTGCTCCGTCCTCTGGGCCTGCCTAAAAGTAGGATTTGGTGGTTGGTGAACTTGGTAGGTCTAGGAAAGAAAAGTTTGGTCAGGGGGAGGCAGCCTCCCTAACATTTCATGCAGAAGTAGACAGCTCTACCGGGTCGGACTGCGGTGATGGGACATGACACCTGTCAGAGGCCGTGCAAGCAAATGTGGCTCCGGAGTTCACCTTGTGGGGGTCCGTGGAATGGGAGGCATGTCCCTCCTCCCTTTCTGAGTCAAGCAGACACCAGTGGTCACCCAGTTTCAAACAGATCTGCTGGGATCTGTTTTTGTTTTTGTTTGAGACAGAGTCTCACTTTGTTGCCCAGGCTAGAGTGAGTGCCGTGGCGTCAGCCTAGCTCACAGCAACCTCAAACTCCTGGGCTCAAGCGATCCTCCTGCCTCAGCCTCCCAAGTAGCTGGGACTACAGGCATGCGCCACCATGCCCGGCTAATTTTTTCTATATATATCTTAGTTGGCCAATTAATTTCTTTGTATTTATAGTAGAGACAGGGTCTTGCTCTTGCTCAGGCTGGTTTCGAACTCCTGACCTCGAGCGATCTGCCCGCCTCAGCCTCCTGGAGTGCTAGGATTACAGGCGTGAGCCACCGCGCCCGGCCTGCTGGGATCTGTTTTCCAGGTGTTAGAGATGGAATTGGACCAGTCCCTCTCTGCCGTCTAGTTCTTCAGCATGTGGAGAACCTTGACCCAGCATGAAGCTCAGTGGACCCCACGGGCTTGAAACCATGACATTGGTCTTGTTCATCTTATGTGGTCATGCTTCAGCTAAATGGCCGGGATGCCTTTTGTGGGAATTGGAGGTGACAAAAGCAGGTGACCCAGTCCCTTGGAAGTTTCCCTGGCCCACCTGGTATTCTGGCGTTTGGTCTGCTCAAAGAGGGTGTAGGAGGGTCAAGCCTTGCCATCCCTCCCCACTCTCCCAGCTCTTCCCCATGGGGCCCAGAAGTTACCTGCAGGTCATCAGTTCAAGCCCCGATGTTCCAAGTATTCATTGCCTATTTGAACTTCTCCTTGATGGAATTACCTTTTCATATATTTGGGATCTTGATGGCTTTCCTAAATATTTGCTTAAAATTTTTTTTATTCCTTAATACTTACATATATTTTAAAGTTAACATAAATGTCAGTCTGTTGTCATAGTGTAATATTATGCTAAAAAATAACTTATTTTTCTATCAAATCTGTTGGGCTTTTCCTTCTTGATTCTTCCTGTTTGCTTCAGGCCTGAGAGAGTTTCCATCCTCTCTAGATCTTGTAAATATACCCCTCTATTTCCTACTACTTTTGCTATGATAAAAGAAATCATATAAGCCTCTACCCCACCTGGATTTTATTCCTGTCCATCTCTTACTAAGAAACCCTTTCTTTATACATTGTTTGAGAAATGTTGTCAATTGGTGAATTTTGATTTGTGGTTGGGTTTATTTTTTTATTTCTGATCTATGCTACTGATATTTTGCACAGGTAATGTACCCTTTAGTTATTGCTTTATACTCATTCCATAGGTTTCTGACAAGCTCCTCTTTTTCAGATTATGCTTTGATAGTCTCAATCTCAGTCTCTTTCTGAAACCCAGGGAGCTTTGATTCAAGCTCAAATATTTGATCAAGGCCCAGGTGACAGAGCAAGACCCTGTCTCAAAAAAAATTTTTTTTTGTTTTGATCAAAGGCCATATAGTGGGTCACTGGCAGATATGGGACTGGGCTTCGTGGGCTGGAAAAGCCATTTCCAGGTTCACCCTTAAAATGCCTCCAGTCTCCGAATGTTTAATGAGCAAAAAGGGTTTGGAGCAGTTTTGTTAAGTCAACAAAGCACAATTGCTTTCAAGCTCAAAAGAACAAGAAGGAAAAGGAAGACTTGAAAGTAGTCTGATTGTATCTTCCTTTTCCCCTTCCCACGGGGAGCATGCATTTCCTAGACCCTAAAAAGAGACCCCAGTTTTGCAAATTTCCCAGAAGGAAAGCAGACAAGTATTGACTATCCCACTGCAATTATAAACGATATGAACAGAGCATGGGGCAGCTTAGGTGGGCTGCTGGGGGCAGAACTTTGGATTTGGAGGCAGGTAGACCTGGGTTCAAGTCTTACCAACTTTGCGATTGGGAGCAACTACATTAGCTCTCTGTGCCTCAGTTTCTTGCTCTGTAAAATGGGGATGATAATCTTTATTTTGACTTATTTATTATTAATTTTTTGTTTTGAGATAGTCTTGCTCTGTCACCTGGGCTAGAGTGCCAAGGCATCAGTCCTAGCTCACAGAAACCTCAAACTCGTGGGCTCAAGTGATCCTCCTGCCTCAGCCTCCCAGGGTGCTAGGATTATAGGTATGAGCCACCACACCCAGTCTTGGGGTAATAATCTTTAACTCTATGGTGACTGTGAAAATTAAATGGAAATGGGAATTCCCTATGCAATATTCGATGGACTTTCTGGTGGACATTCAACAAATGTCTCTTGATCGGGAATCAGAATTTGCTGGAAAATTCTGAGATCCAGGCTCCTATGGAGAAGGCAGCTCTTCAAGAAAGAGCCACTTCTGAGCCCAGAGGATTTTTCTGTTTCCTTTCTCCATGAAACTCCCCTGCCCAGCCCCCTTCCCTCCAGCCTGGAGGTCTTCCCTTGGCTGACCCTCACACCCACCTCATTTGTAGTCCTCCTGCACGCTGGCTTACTGGAGTTCTAGGAGCTGAAAAGAGGTTCAGATGAGACCACTGAAGGGATTAGCAAGGAGCCACAGAGGAAACACCTGCCCCAGAGACAGCGGCATTGACCGCGGCCCCCAGAACACACGATTAACCAACAGAGCGGAGTTCCCAGAGA